GATGGAAGCCATTGAATAGTTCCATGTGAATGGTGTTTTCAAGAGAAGTATCAATGCTTCTTTCATTACTATTGTGCCTAAGAAAGAAGGTGCATCTTGTATCAGTGACTATAGCCCTATTAGTCTCGTGGGGAGAATTTACAAGATTATTTCTAAAGTGCTTTCCAACAGACTCAAGAAGGTTTTTGACGTGTTTGTTTCATCCTCCCAGAATGCGTTTGTGGAAGGTATGCGTTTGTGGAAGGTAGGCAGATCCTGGATGCAGCTTTGATGGCAAATGAACTTGTAGACTCTAGAAAGAAAAATAGAGGTCCCGACTTACTATGAAAGTTGGACCTTGAGAAGGCTTTCGACCATGTCAATTGGGAGTTCTTGGATTTCATTATGATGCGGATGAGGTTTGGGGCAAGATGGAGGGGATGGATCAAGTTCTGCATTTTCTTAGTCAGATTCTCTGTCCTGGTTAATGGTAGCCCGTGTGGTTTCTTTGACAGCTCCAGGGGTCTCAGGTGACCCGCTATCCCCCATGCTATTCATTCTAGTGATGGATGCTTTGAGTAAAATGATGGATCGTGCGGCGAGTGAAGGCTTCTTGAGAGGATTCTCAGCTCCGATCGGGGTGCCCAGTGCCCGAAGAGTCTCTCATTTGCTTTTTGCAGATGACACTCTGGTTTTCTGTGATCCCGATATGGATCAGTTGACCTACCTGAAGCAGGTCCTGCAGTGGTTTCAGATAGTATCAGGTCTCAAAATCAACCTCGGCAAGTGTGAGATTTTTTCGGTGGGTAAGGTTGCTAATATTGATGCTTTGTCTTATGTTATCAGATGTAAGGTGAGCTCCCTTCCTACTACTTACCTGTGTCTCCCATTGGGCGCTTCACATAAGGATAGTACAGTTTGGAATCCAGTGATCGAAAGGGTTGAAAAAAGATTAGCAGGCTGACAAAAACGGTACTTGTCAAAAGGAAGTGCTCATTAAAAGCACTTTATCGAGTATGCCCACCTATTACTTGTCCTTGTTGTAAGCTCTTGTGAGCATCACAGAAAAACTAGAGTGGCTTCCAAGGAATTTTCTTTCAGATGCAGCGAATGGAACTAGAAAGTATGATCTAGTGAATTGGCAGACAGTCACTTCCCCAAAGAAGTGGGGTGGCCTTGGAGTAAAAGATCTTAGGGTATTCAACAGAGCTTTATTGGGGAAATGGTTGTGGAGATTCGGGGTAGAAGAGCATACTCTATGGAAGGAGGTCATAATAGAAAAGTACGATTCCACGGGAGGGGGTTGGAGGACCAATGCTATCACAACACCTTTCGGGTGTGGCATGTGGAGGAACATCCTTCAGTGGCAACATCTCTCACAGGGTGGGAGATGGAAGGAGAATCAGCTTTTGGAATCATAGGTGGTGTGGAGAGGATACTCTGAGGGTTTCCTTCCCCACATCTTCAAAGTTTCAAACCAGAAGGAATTGATGGTCCAACAGATTCGTAAGGAGCATGAAGGGGGGGGAGGTAGTATGAGACCTCTCATTTAGAAGGAACATGCAAGATTGAGAGATTGCGGAGCTCTAAGATTTATTGACACTGTTATATGGGCAAGACAGGCCCCAGCCATCTTGTGATTCTTAGAGATAGGGTTTGTGAGGGGATTTAGTCTCCTTTTTTCACATCTTAAGAATAGTCTTTTATCTTTGATCGCTTTTTAGTACACTTATATAGCCCCTATTTGTATAGAAGATTGGGCGTCTTTTGTAAAGAATCATATTCTTATGTAAATTTTCTACTTTTTGGTATACTTCTTGTATACGGGAGTTCTCCCCCTTTTGATTAATACAATTTACCTTATCAAAAAAAAACTCTTCCTTGTCCTCTCTAGTAGGGTATGTTGTAAGGTTATTATGGAAAAAAATGTGATATGACTTTTCATATATAGTAGAAGTTTTCTACTTGTAAGCATGATTGATCAAACTTCTATTACCTTTGCTAAAAAAATATAGTAAAGTATTTTGTAACCAATTGAACAATTAATTAATTAACATCTCTACCACCACCTAAGGGTGCTGGATCAAACTAAAAGTTGACAAATGATAAACATTTGACAGGATGACGAAGTATAAAGTGGTATTAAAATGAACAGTATATTTGTTATTGTCTTTTTATGATTACCATTATTATGATTTTGAGTGGATCTACTGACATTAGAGAAAAGCCACTATTATAAAGATCACAAATCTGATGCAATATTACAACTCTAACATAGTAAGATGATAATTACAAGCACACACAGGGAGAGCCAAAATACAATTTAGCATAATCTCAGAGCAATTAGAAGATTATAGGACCCCATTACTGGAAAAAATGCCGTAATGTAGTTTAAGTAGGATTGACTTGTATCTGTGTGTAATTACAGTTGTGTATTCTAGCCACCGGAGCACTTGGTGGATTGTTTGACCATGAGATGGGAAATATTAATGTCATATGTCGTTTCTCGTCCATACCGATTATTCTTCTCTCTGATGATTGCCTCATCCAACTTCTTCCGAGTACACATCATCACAAGATTCATATCCAGTCCTCTGTTGAGGGCCCACATTGTGGACTCATACCCATTGGAACGGCTGCTAGAAGAACCACAACCACAGGTCTCAAATGGAATTTGGGTGAGCAGCTCCATCTACTCTTTTCTTATTAACTTTTAATATAGTAGTTTAGACTCAACCTGCCTCAATTTGTTATAGGTTGATGCCTTATGTGCTGCATATCTCTATTTGTTTTTGGTTCAATACAAGAAGGATAAATTTCTCTCCAGATTTGATGCCATCATAGTGGTGGTATCTACTTTTTCTACTAGATTGACTTGTGTTCACTTGACTTTATTTCAGACAAGACAGAAATAAGGTTTGGTGGTTTAGTCAGTACATCTAATATCGTGAAAGAGAATATAGTAACAGTGCAATCTGAATCTGACCTCCTATGGACGATTTCTATAAAAAAAGAATGAAGGATGCAGCTTGCAGATGACACAAATGAAGAGCCAAATTTTGCTAGATGAATCGTGGGTGCTGACCTCCATTTTCTGTTNCCTGTTCAATTCTTTCCATTCTTTCCAGATAAAGAAGTTTCACAGATTTTGAAAATTGTTGGGGTTCTTATTTTTTTTTGGGAATACAGTATCTCTCCAGTCCGATTGTGTGCTGGCACACAACAGATTTCTTTGGTCTTGCCTGTATTGCAGTAGTCTTGGGGAAACAAACAACACGAGGTCTTATGAGTAAAGAGTACTTGTGGGGGGTTAACTTTGATTATCAACTTCTGTTTATGTGCTTGATTCATTAAACGCATTTGGTCCAGCAGTTCTTTAATCTTTTGTATACATAACTCTTTTACCATTATACTGAAACATGGAGAAGTATATTTTTTATTTTGCGGTGATACACTGACATGTCTACAGTTGGTAAATACGGAAGATTGCAATATAAATGAGAGAAAGGGTTCGCTCGTTCAATTGCTCGTAGAAAGGGATCG